AACGCGCGGCTCGGCTCTCGGGGGCCTATCGTTGAGTCGGGCCTGCGGGATCTTTTTATAACAGTCAGAAATAGTCTGGTGACGATCTGTTTTTCTTTGTGTGTCGTTGAATATGTGTTGAGTCTGTTTTTTTTTGGGGGGGCAAGGCACGTCTGTAGGAGGGCATGCCAGACCCAAACCTATCGCCCCCTGAGCCAGCTCCTCCCAGTCGTCCCCCCTCCACGCTGCAGGCTGGGGCTCCGCCGGGGCTGGCGGGAGGGAGGGTGCCTCGACCCATGGGCTGCAGTCGCGCGAGAGCTGTTCTGGCAGGATCGTATGAAGTTGGGCATGTCCCGCTACAGGAGGAATATTCGACAACTGTTTTGATCATCGTATGGGGACATCTTGTCGTGCTGTCTTGATTATGTTTTGAGCATGTTTTGGTGATCTATTCCTCCCCAATGAATTTGCTTCTGGGAGGGAGGACATGCCCGACCTAAGGATAGGGTGAGGAGTCGGCCCCAGGCACACAGGGTTGGGAGTTCCGGGGACGGGCGTCTCGGTCAATGTTGGGCCGTTTGTCTGGCGAGGAGGCGGACGACGATCACGAGGGGGAGGGCACAAGAACGAGTAGCCGGGCGGGGGAGAAGGGAGAGAGGACGGGGCAGAATGTACGCAGGCGTAGAGGCGGAGGAGGAGGAGGAGGAGGAGGAGGAGGAGGAGGCGGAGGAGCAGGAGGAGGAGGAGGAGGAGGAGGAGGCGGAGGCCAGAGGGGAAGATAATGATTATGGGGAGCCATGCCACCGTGCCAGCGCAGCATTAGTATGCATGCGTATGGTTCTACCCAGGCTCGCCCGAACTGAGCTTGTGACCGTCTGGGAAGAAGCGTTACACCGCTGAAGCGCGGCATGGCGTCGACGTTGAGCGGTTGTTGCTTCATTTTGAAGGAGGGTGTCTCCATAGATCTCCATGGGTTTGGACGAGAAGTCCACCAGCGTGTCGCCTCTAGACCAAGCGAGCGCACGGACACTCGTCGGTCCGTTGCAGCGTTCTCCTCTCATGTGGCCATTTCGGATTCCTTATCTGATGAGGGCGGCGGTGATCTCCGTGGTCAAGCCCCAATTGGTGTTCCAATTGCTTCCAGACCCTGGATTTCATATCTAAGAGTTCCTTATCCAATGCCTTGCCTTCACCTTATCGAGCATGAGGGGGGAGGAGAGGAGCTTTTGGAGCTGGCTGGTCCAACAGCACCCTGAACCTCGCCGCTGCAGCCTCGGACGGGTCATCGCTCAGCTAGGGGACCGGCATGGCCGGCACGAAGGATTGCAAAAAAACCGAAGGATTGCAACAAAAACCGAAGGATTGCAAAAAAGCCGAAGGATTGCAAAACAAAAACCCTTAGGTTTTTTTTTTGCAATCCCAGGGTTTTTTTGCAATCCTAGGGTTTCTTTTTGCAATCCTTCGTTTTTGCAATCCTTCGTTAAAGCCCCCGTGCCCATCGCGCTGCAGGTCGGCTGGCCCACGAGGCGGAGTGCGCCAGGCTCCGCACGGAGGCGGACCGCCGCGCGGTCGAGCTGCGGGGTGCGGAGGCGGCGCTCGCCGCAGGCCGAGCGGCCGGCGGGGGGGGGGGCGGCTAAAATCTGCTGACGGTGGCTGTCGCGGGGATGCTGGCGGTCCAATCCTTGTGTGCTGCGTGCTGCAGCGGCAGGGGCCGCCTCGAGTCTCAGAGCAGGCCCCGCCGTTGGAGCCACGGCCCCGTGGGGCCAATGGGGGCCCCTCCCTCTCGGGCGTCACGTCTCCCCAAGCCTGCTGTTGCTGCTGCTGGTGCAGGTGCTGCGGATGCTGGCGCTTCCCTTCCTAGGCGGCTCATCGGCCTCAATCCCCGAGTTCTGCCGAGCGCAAGCGGGCCGTTTAGAAAAGAGTTGGCGTTCGAATATGCACCCTCAGGGGGCCATTCGGGGGCACCCCTGTGGATGGATGCCCCCCATTATACATCGCCGAGCTGGGCCCCAACTTGCGTGTCCAGTCGAAAGTCCCACTGCGTCGGGGATTTAGGTCGCTTCCACTCCTGCTATACATCTCCCGTGCTCTTCCCTCTGCCGCCAGTAGTCCTGTTTCTGTCAGCTTGCATCGTTCCCCTTCTTGCCATACTTGGCAGTGCAGCTGACGTCAGCTATACGGTTCGTCTTCGTATTATCCCCGTTCCATCGTCGTCCTTGTTTAATTGCATGTACCTCTTCCCCATCGGCAAGCCATATTTTATGAATCGATGCTGTTGTTGTTGGTGTTGTTGATGGTGCTGTTGCTGCTGCTGTTGGTGGTGGTGGTGGTGTCGTTGCCGGTGGTGGTGTTGGTGCTGTTGTTGGTGTTGTTGTTGCTGGTGTTGTTGTTGCTGGTGTTGTTGTTGTTGTTGAGGTTGAGGTTGAGGTTGAGGTTCAGGTTGTTATTGTTGTTGTCGTCGTCGTTGTTGTTGTCGTTGTTGTTGATGGTATCGTTGTGGTTGATGTTGTTGTTGTCGAAGGTGTTGTTGGTGTTGCTGTTGCTGTTAGTGTTTTTGCAGGTGCGGTCATTATTGTTGTTGCTGCTGCTGTTGTTGTTGTTGTTGCTGCTGCTGTTGTTGTTGTTGTTGAATTCTCATTTCTGAAAATAATTATTGTTGATCCCCCCACCGGTGCATATTCTTTTTCCCCACATCAAAAGTGGGTTTCTTGTTTTCTCTGGACGCCACGCGCCGGAACAGGAACCCACCATCATCATCACTCATTCCTCACTCACTCCTCATCATCCCTCACACACTCACTCACACACTCACTCACTCACTCACTCATCAGCACTCACATATGATGATGATGATGATGATGATGATGATGATGATGATGATGATGATGATGATGATGATGATGATGATGATGATGATGATGATGATGATGATGATGAGTGTGCGCGTGAGAGAGTGCGATGATGATCATCATCATCACCAGTCAGTCAGTCAGTCACTCACTCACTCACTCGCCTTGGGCTTCGTCTGTCAGTGAATTATGAGGAAATCTCACGCGGGAGCCCCCTCCCTATGGGGCCCGCTGATTAAGTTACTAACCCGAGCGGGTCATCGGAAACCTGTAACTGTCGTCACTTTTGGGCTCTTCAGGCCTGAATTTGGAGGAAGTATGAGGCGGGAGCCTCGCCTGTGAGTAAATTGCGAGGAAGTCTCAGGCGGGAGCCTCTCCCTATGGGGCCCGCGGATTATTTAATTAATCCGAGCGGGTCATCGGGATCCTGTAACTGTCGTTGCTTTTGGGCTCCTGAGGCCTGAATCTGGAGGAAGTCTCAGGCGGGGGCCTCGCCTGTGAGTAAATTGCGAGGAAGTCTCAGGCGGGAGCCCCTCCCTATGGTGCCCGCAGATCATGTTACTAATCCGAGCGGGTCGTCGGGATCTTGTAACTGTCGTCACTTTTGGGCTCCTGAGGCCTGAATCTGGAGGAAGTCTCAGGCGGGAGCCTCGTCTCTGAGTGAATTGCAAGGAAGTCCAAGGCGGTAGCCCCCTCCCTATGGTGCCCGCAGATCATGTTATTAATCCGAACGGGTCGTCGGATTCCTGTAACTGTCGTCAATTTTGGGGCCCCTCAGGCCTGAATATGGAGGAAGTCTCAGGCGGGAGCCTCGTCTGTGAGTGAATTGCAAGTGAAGTCGTGTTCCCAGAACACCACTCCCAGGCCTCATTTTGAATGCCCGGAGCCAACTGTAGGCCACTTCGTGTTCGTCGTGTTCCCAGAGCGCTATTCCCCGGCACGTATCCACTGGGACGCACCCCTGTGCGCTTCCTCTGGGTCGTGCCCCCGCACGTATCCACTGGGACGCACCCTGTGCGCTTCCTCTGGGTCGTGCCCCCGCACGTATCCACTGGGACGCACCCTGTGCGCTTCCTCTGGGTCGTGCCCCCGGCACGTATCCACTGGGACGCACCCGTGTGCGCTTCCTCTGGGTCGTGTTCCGGCAGGGAATCTGGCTGCAGGTGCACGGCTTCAAGGAGTCTCCGATCTACCAGGAGGTCGCCGAGGTGCTGCTGCATGGCGCCGAGGGCGCTGACGACGACTGCCAGGCCGAGGCGCGGGCGCGGAGCTTGCTGATGTTCAGGCCCAGCGAAAAAGAGTTCACGTGGCAGAGTTCGGGGGCGCACAAGGTGCGCCGCTCGGGGTTCACCCTGACGCACGCGTCCTACCTGACCTCCACGCTGTCGCAGGGCCAGACGCTGCGCAAGGGCGTCACCATCGACTGCGCGAGAGACGAGGAGGCTGGCCGCACGGGCATGTCGGACGAGCAGTGGTGGCTGCACCTCTACGTCATTTTCTCCCGCGCCACGTGCATGCGGAACATGGTGATCCTGCGGCCGCCGCCGCGGGAGTTCCTGGGGCGAGGGCCGCCGGCGTCCTTGCGGAAGGCGCTGCTGGAGTTCGACAAGAGAGCGGTTTTGTCCAGGGCAGAGGCGGAGCAGCTCGCGGCAAAGCTGGGCTTCGTGCCGCCTCCCGCCTGAGCGTGGCTGCGCCCCGCTCGAAGCCCGCGGGGTTGTCCCAACGGTTTGGTCTTGCGCGCCAGCGGCTCGCGGGTTTGTCCCGACAGCCTGGCCCGCGGGGCTGTCCCAACGGCTGCGCGACGCGGCCATCAGAGAACGCGCCAGTCCAGTGCTGGCCGAGGCGGCGACGGCGCCGAGGAACATCGACTTGCTTGCCCCGCCCAGGGGGAGAGGGAGGTGCACGTAGAGAAACGGCAGGAGGAAGATGAGAAGGGGGAGGGCATGGGGGGGGGGGGGGCGATGAGAAGGAGGAGGTGGAGAAGGAGGAGGGGGAGGTAGACGGAGGGGGAAGGGAAAAATAGAAGAAGGAGGGAAAAGAGATGGCAGAGGAGAGGGCGAGAGGAGGGTGTTTGCCATGGCCAGGAGGAAAGGGAGAACGGCACGCAAACAGATTATCATGCGGGGTCCTTCCGTCGGAGTAATTTGTCAATCAAAATGGCTCCCGCTTGAGATTTCCTTACAATTTAGCCAGGACCCCCGCTCCCGCCCGAGACTTCCTCGCATTATATTCAGGAATCGCGCTCTCGCTTGGAATTTCCTTACAATTTAATCCGGAATCGCTCTCCCGGCGTTCTGGAGTCGCGCTCTCGCTGGAGACTTGCTTGCAACTTACTGGAGAATAGCCTTGCGTTGGAATTTCCTGCAATTTGCCCAAGCGCCGCGCTCCCGACACCCAGGCGCCCAGGAGTCGCGCCCGTTGTGCCCCATGTGCATGCCCTTCGTGGCCCCGCTGTCGCCATGTTTGTCCCCTCTCACTGTCCTACGTGGCCCAGTTTCTACCCTCAGTGGCCCCATAGTTGCCTTCTGTGGCCGCGCATTATCTGCACTTCGTGGCCCCCGCTCGTTCGCGCTCTTCGTGGCCCCATACGCATTCCCTTCGTGTCCCCGCTGTCGCCCTTCGTGGCCTACTTCGTGCCCTTCGTGGCCCTGCTGTCGTTCTCTCTCGTTCTCGCTTCGCTCGTCGTCGCCGACGTCGTCGCCGTCGTCTTCGACGTCGTCGTCGTCGTCGTCGTCGTCGTCGTCGTCGTCGTCGTGGTCGGTCCCCTGTCCGTCCCTTTTGGGGTCGGGTCGACGGTCCGCGGCCGCCCCGCCGATCAGCGCTGCCGGTAGCCAGGCCGCCCCGCCGCTTGCCGGGGCCCGGCCTGCAGGGAAGAAAGGTATACCCCCCAAAAGGGGTTCGATCGAAGACGAAGAGGGCGGGTATCGAGGGTTTGGGAAATACGCGTTATTGGACACTCGAGCATATAAGGGCGAACAGTCTCAAAAGTATTGTTGTTGTTGAGTTTGTGTGCATGTTGTTGTTCACCCACTCCTACCAACGTACCTGCCTTCCAAGACCAGCCACAACTCGGGGATCTGTGTCTTCCCCCCTCCGGCCCATCGGTTTCGACGCCCCTTTCGAGAGGTCGTCGATGCGATGGGCTCCCCAGTAGGGGTAAGGAGCACAGCTCCCAAAGCTCGGAGGTTGCCAGTTCGGAGCACCCTTGGCCCAAAGGGTGCCCCCTCCCAGCCGCGCCCCCCTGGAGGGGACCCCTCCCAGACACCCGATGTCTCGATGGTCGTCAACACGTGGTCCCCAGAAGTCCCAACCTGGTCCTCATCCAGAGTGGTCTTAACGGTCCCGTGGCCCAGCGCGAAGGCCCTCAGAGGCCCAAACACGGCGCGGGCGTCTCTGGGCCTGGGCCTCGTGCGGAGGGTGCCCTCGAGGCCACCTCCGGCGCCCTAGCCGCCCTGGGCCGGGGCCACCCGTGGGGCAGCACCCGGGAGGAAGCTGCGGCCAGGCGGCCGCACCCTGGGCCGGGGAGCCGAGGCAGGGGGCCCATCTCGGCGGCGAAGTCCGAAGCTTACCCTCGCCGATCAACGATTGGGGCAGGTCGATGGGCGGCGAAAGCCCAGGGTGCTGGTGTGCTGTGCACTGTGCCTGCGTACTGTGTGTACCTGTGGGGTGCCTTCTCCTCCTCCCTGCGCTTCGTGTCCGCTGAATCTCGTTTCGCTCGGTTTGCCCACGCGCTCGCTGTACGCATGCACGGCTTCAGCCCGTCAGATGGGCGGCGGGGCCAGGATTCGGAGGTCGTCGAACACGTAACGAGGTCCTCGCCGCTCATCGATTCGGGAGAATCGGTGGTCGGTGGGGGCAGGGTTCGGATGCCGCCACCTGTCATCATGATCCAAGACCGCCGCCTGGGGCATCGCGATCTTCGGGGCCTCGGCAGGCGGTGGATCTGGATATCGTCGGATCCTCTGGGGGGGGGGCACAGCATGTCCATTCCCACCGCCGGCTGGGGCCATCGGGACTTCAGCTCCCCAGGCGACGGGCGCGGACAGATCCCGACCTCGCAGCGGAGGGGCGCGGGAGCGCAGCGAGCGGTCGGTCGGGGGCCGGGCGCGGGGCCGTACGGGACCCGCAGAGAGGGCCCCCCCTGCACAGCGGACTCCTGCCCTGCGCCGGGGGAGGGGCCACGAGTCGAGGAAGAGGAACTGGCACACCTAGGCTCTCGACGGTCCGCGCGGAGGTCTTGGATCGGCGCCGGGGCCCCCAGGGCCGCGCCTTGGGGCGCTGCCCCTGCCACGCCCCCAGCGCCCCCTCGAGGGGGGGTCCGGCGCCGAGCCCAGAAGCCCGCGCGGAGCGTCAGACCGTTGTGCTCATGTCGTCTGTTCTTCCTCTCACGGATGGGGCCCCCCAGCGACGGGGGGGAGCCCAGGCACCCCTCGGGCCACTGACAGAAGTCACGGCGGGAGGTGCTTCTTCGCTGTGTTCGGCCCCTGGGGGCCCTCGCGCTGGGGCCCGGGACGGTCATACAGCAGCTCGGGACGAAGAGCCCCATAATCTTGGGGGGGAAAGCGTTTCAGACCATTGCGGGACGTTCTCAGAGCGTTCCAGAGCGCTTTGGATCGGCCGCGGCGACCGATGCAGTTTCCAGAGCCGCTTGGTTTCAGAGATCCCCCATCTATCCCGCTCGGCCTTTGCCTCGGCCCTGGATGCGCCTTGGCCCCTGGAGTGTCTTGCGTGGGCTTCTGCCCTGCGTTCGTTGACGAGCGACGGGAGGAGAGGCAGTAGCAGGATAGTCGTGATTAGCGAGGGGGAGGAGGAGGAGGAGGAGGAGGAGGAGGAGGAGGAGGAGGAGGAGGAGGAGGGAGGAGGAGGAACAGCAGAAGGAGGAGGAGGAGAAGGAGGAACAGCAGGAGGAGGACGAGGAGGAGGATGAGGAGGAGGGATGGGGCATGAAGGAGGAGGGAGGAGGGAGGAGGGAGGAGAAGGAGGAGGCGAGGGATACGACCAGGGGATCAACCTCGGCGGGTCGACGGTACCGCGCCGTGTGTTGGGGGCACCTCTGGCGCTCGCTGCTGCGGTCGATCTGGTTCTGTCGACAGGTGCGGCGCGGAACTCGAATTTTCAGGATTCTTGTGATTTCCTCGGGATCCCGACTCAGACTTGCTCGCATTGTGGCAAAATTGTGGCGGAAGGTTCTTCTCCGTAGGAAAGGGTCGGGACTTCCCTGGGCCGCAGGTTGAACATATCAGGACGTCGCATGTTTGGGGAGGAGTCTCCACGCATTCAGGTTCCCTAGCAGGCTCCTGAGGTTCCCCTTGGGAGGAGCTACCTGGGGAAGGCCTTAACTCATGGAGATCCGAAGCTCTCCAGCCCCAGGTGGCCCCGCAGGGAGTGTGAGGAGGGAGATTGCCAAGTGCTGGGGGGTCGCGCACACAGTCCAGAGGGATGGAGGGAGGGAGGGAGGGAGGGAGGGGAGGAGGAGGAGGAGGAGGAGGAGGAGGAGGAGGAGGAGGAGGAGGAGCCCCAGAGGCAGTCAGGGCTGGCCCCAGCAGGCCCCGGTGGCGGCCTGGGTCGAGCCTCACGCCCCATCGCCGCTCAGTCGCTCCCCCCATCGCTCCTGCTCGCGGCTCTGTCCAGCTCGCGCTCCCCCCCCCGTCAGGGGGGCCGCGCTCCAGAACCGCCGCTGCGCCCCGTGCGGGTGCCTTTAAGTCGGGCGTGTCCCCCGGCAGGCAGATTTTGGACGAAAGACAGAAACGATCCCAAAAACATGGTAAGACATGGTCGGCAAATCGTCCCCAGACATTGTTTTTCTTTTTTTGTTGTGTAAAAACAACTATTTTTGCATACTCCTCCTGAAGAGGGACAGGCGGGTGCCTGACCGTTTCTCGTTGGTCGAGGGGCGCCGTTCGACGAAGAAAAAACGAGATACACATGAATATTTGGCGCTCCGCGCGGATTTCTTGGATCCGCGCTGGCCCCCCCTCCAGCGGGTGCCTTTAAGTCGGGCGTGTCCCACTTCAGGCGGATTTTGGACGAAATATCGGAAAGATTCAGATAAAAGTTAAACATAGTCGACAAATCGTCCCCAGACTATGTTTTTGACTATTTGGGAATATTCCTCCTGTAGAGGGACAGGCCCGACTTGAGGGTGCCCGACCGTTTCTCGTTGGTCGAGAGGCGCCGTTCGAAGAAGAAAAAACGCCATAAACGTAAGCTTTTGGCGCTCCGCCGACGGCGCTGGGCCCCCCCCAGCGGCGCCTCCGGCGCCGCCTGGGTCCAGCGCAGATCCAAGAAATCCGCGCGGAGCCCCAAAAGTTTACGTTTACGGCGTTCTTTCTTTTCTAGCCGTGGAGACGCCCGCCCAGCTGGACAGACCTGTCGGTGGGTCGGTTCAGGGTCTGGGCAGTCTCGGCGTGGGCTTCGCCGTCTGCGCCGCCGCCGCCGCCCTGCCTGCACCACATGGGGGATTATAATGCAGCATCGGCGCTGGTAGAGCCGTGGTCCAAGGTGGGCATCACCTGGCCTACTCCCAGTGGGGTTCCGCTGGATCCCCCGGGTCTGGTCCGCTAATCGTTCTTACGAATATCGGCGCCACCCGAACATACTATCGCCCCCGAGGGGGCGACGCGCGCGCCGAGGAACCTTACAGTACATGGTCGGTGGTGGGCGCTGTCTGGCCGTGCCGCTCGGGAAACGATGCGCTACAATATGGATGTGCTAGACGTTCGGGTCGGACGCACACCTCCGAGGAGGACGCGTAGTACCGGTATGTCCTTCTGCGTGCCCGAAGGCCCCCCTGACGTTGTCTCCGAGCGCCGCCGCCGCCGCCGTCGAGGCCACGAGCAGGCGCAGCAGCGGCGGCAGCGCCTGGCCGCGCTGGAGGAGCAGCTCGCGGGCGCCCGGCGGGCGCGGCAGGCGCACCCTCTGCGTGGGGATCCGAGGGGGGGGGGGGGGGGGCGCCGCGCCCTGCGCACCCCACTGCGCCCTCGTGGGCGCCCGGGGCTCCCGACGTGCGCGGGCACGACAGCGCAGGCACGACAGCGCAGGCCGGCCACAAAACAGACGACGCCACCCCACCTGCGGCCTGCCGTGTTGCGCTGCGGCCCGTCGGGGGCCGTAGCGCACACCATGCAAAAAACCCACGCCGGACGTCCTGGTACACGCTACGGCCCGTGGGGCCGTGGGTGGGGTGGTGCCGTTTGTCCTCTGGTCCAGCAGGCACGACAGCGCAGGCACGACAGCGCAGACGCGGGCGCGCAGCGTGGGCGTGCCGCGTGGGCGCGGGCGCGCAGTGCGTGGGCGTGCCCGAGGGCGCGGCCTGCCCTCGGAGCTGGAGGCTTCGGGGGAAGCAGGCGTCCGACCCCTGGGAGGGACGCCAGCCTCGCCTCCGCAGCCCTGGCTGGGGACGCTGGCGGCTTTCCTCGTCTTGGCGCGGGCGTCATCGGCTTCTTCGTCCGTCGATACCTCTGCCTCCTCCCCCCCTAGTCCTTGGAAGGCAGGGCGCCCCTCGCTGTGCTCCTGGATGGCACGTCTTCGGCAGGCGCTGCCAATGTCCAGAGGCCCTCCCCCGGGTCGCCGCACACGCCTGCGCCAGCGCATGGCGCTGGCGACGACGGCGTCGACGCCGACGACCACGGCACCGTCGACGAGGACGCGCGGCGCTCGCCGGCGCTCGGCGGCGCCGCGTCGCGCCGGCCGGCGGCCGCACGCGACCTGGCAAGGCCAGCGGCGCTGTCGGCGTCGTCGCCGGCGTCGGCGCCAGGATCGACAGTTCGGGCCGAACGCTTCGGCAGCCCAGTGCTCTCTCGACGAATGTCGGGCTATGATCGGCGCCAGGATCGACAGTTCGGGCCGAACGCTTCGGCAGCACGGTGCTGTCTGGACGAGAGTCTGACTGCTATCTGGACGAACGTATTCCTGGTTGTCATATGA